AAAACTTTTGGAGCAGTCAACTCTGATAATCATAAACACTTTCATCTTTATTTTGTTTATTAGAGTGAATTTTAGTCCAATTAATTAGAGGAGAAAAGCCTTTGGGATAGCCTCTAGCAATTTTTCACTCACGTTCCAAGAGTCTTCCAACAACTCAGTGGCCGTTTCATCAATATTTAAGTCTAAACTGTCCTTGGAGTTTTTCCATTCTGCCTGTTCTAGCCATAATTGGGCTTCCCCTGGGCCAGTAATCATGTGAACAAGTTAATGTAAGTCGGGGATCCCAAGCAGGTAGACTTCAACAAGGATTTTAAATTCTTCAGAAAATGTATAGGGGTAGGGGTCACTATGAGTAGGAATTGACTCAACAACAATGAGTTTGGTTGGGGTTTTCATGGAGTTTAGGAAAATATTTCACAGTGCTACATAAAATTCTGAGTTTGTCCACATGGCAAATGTGATATGAGGGGAATCTTCAGCATTACTGCTGGGGTGAATTTTAAAGGGCATTTCAGGCAAGGGTTTATTTGCTGGTTTTTCTTTATTCTACTTAGTTAATTTGGAGACAGTGTCCTGCAGGGAAGCAATTTTACTGTCTTGATGTCTTTCAGAGACCTCAATATACCAATCAAAATAGGCGCCCCACTGGGACTGTTTAAACAAGAGCGTCAGTTCTCTAATTTACTGCACAGAAAAGCTAACTTAGATTAAAAGAACCCCAAAGTGACCACTGATTTTCCAAACTGTCTCAAGTGAGGCTATGCCAGACAGACAAGAACATGCACCATAAGGGACCATAACGTTTGTTCATATAGTGAGCAGGAGTCCCAGGAGGTAGCTCCAACTCTCCTTTAGACATAGCATTCCTCACTTTATACTGACAGTAACAACAAAACAAACTTTTACATACAAGAACCAAAATAAAACTCAAAGAGCTATCAACACAAGGGAGCTGAGCTTGGATTCAAGAGTTTTTTTTTACCTTAAATGATTCCCAAGAATTTGCAGAAGCACAGAGCCCAAAGCAGCTCAGCAGGTACTGTGCCCGTGTCTAGATGCCCCAGGGATCATCAAAGATAACGCACATTGCAAGTCCTGCTTCTGACTCCAGAAATGTCAAAGAAGAAAATCCCACACTCTTTTAGGAGTGAAAGAAAGAGTTTTATGGAGGAATAATACAGCTTGAGCTAGGCAATGCTAGGTAAAAATACAAAGCAATGAACCCTTCAAACAAGGAGAAGGGTCTATATACGTAGAGAACAAAGGATAGGTAGAGGGTTAATAATTGATTATAGGTAAGATCAGCTTCAGCTTGAAGTCGTTTGAAATGTAAAGTTTGGCCACTTGGCTAGGAGGGAGTGAGTTACCACCTATGTGAGTGGTGACAGCCGGTTCGATTATAATGATTGCAGTCATGAACACATTTTTTCCTGGGAACAGCTTGTTTATGTCTTGACACATTCTTCCCATGAACAAATGGTTTACATACTGACCTTTTGCTTCCTGAGAATGCTTGTTGGCTCCATCATTCTTACCTCATTCTTACATCTGACACAAGTGCCTATGAAACTTTTCAGTTTACATAGGTCATTGTTATGTTAATTTCTCAGGAGATAACATCAAAGCACAAGAAGGGTTTCAGTTGCAGAAACAGAATCACCAAGGACATGTTGTACATCCTAAAACACAGCCTATAGTCAGACTTGTACAAAGATCAAGAAGCAGTCGTTCAAACAAAACAAAGGCATACTGCATGGTTTAAAGTCAGGAAAGGCATGCATCAGGGTTGTATCCTTTCACCATACTTATTCAATCTATATGCTGAGCAAATAATCTGAGAAGCTGGACTATATGAATAGGAATGAGGCATCAGGATTGGAGGAAGACTCATTAACAATCTGCAATATGCACATGACACAACTTTGCTTGCTGAAAGTGAAGAGGACCTGAAGCACTTACTGATGAAGA